GGAGAGAGGGGAAGAAAGAGGGAGGGGGGGCAGCAGCCGCCGAGCGGCCCTGACACTTTTGTACTTTTACATAAGTAACATTTTGAATGCAGGGCATGTAACAGAGTATTTTTTACGTTTTTGTAGTGCTACTTTTACTTAAGGGCATTAACGTACTATTGTGTAGACTTTGACAGTTCTACTAAAGACCAGAATTGTCTGCTTGTATGATGTGAGTTGTCATTACATGCAGTGTTGTCATGTGTTGTATAATATGCGGCAGGGCTTGTTTACAACCTGTCCAAACATCTGACTGCTGATGTTTCTTGCCCTGTTGTACTTTTTTTTGTACAAGTGACGACACATTCACAGATCTCGGCGATTACTTTGGTGAATTTAATGTTATCATATTCTGATAGAAACCTCATTGTCTTACAGTAGATTTTATATTCAGAAGTTACTGTATATGCGTCCTTTATAACACCATGTCTTAGAGCGTCACGCAAAGGACATCAATTCTAATATGTGACTAGTCAGTGTGGAATTGGATATTTTATCCCTTAATGTGTTTGGTGTTTTGTTTGTTTGGAGTTCTTATGAGATCTTCTCAGTTTCATTCATTTTCCAAACAGGAAGATGGATAAATCTGCTGGCCCACAGCCTCAATTGATATTCTGTGGAGTGGGTCCAATCTCTCTTTCCATAAATATGCATGAGAACTGTTGAGCTTTGGTATTGAATGGGCTTGATCTCTGTGTGTGAGTCTGTGTGTTTTTGTGCTTGAATTTATTGGGATAAGTTAGGTTCTGGCAAGGTTCAAGTTACATAGGAGATATTGGAGAGCTACATTTGTCACATAGAGTACATAGTGTGTGTGTGTGTGTGTGTGTGTGTGTGTGTTAAGAGCCAAGGGTTCTAGCACTGAGGTCATTTGCAGCCGCAGGGAAGCTGAAATGTCATGACTGGGTTGTCTGTGGCTCTTGGGCTGCTGCTGTGTGTGACTGGCTAGCTCTTGATTTAGCGTGGCTGATGAGGGTAAAGTGCACATGGTGCTGAGATGAGCTGCAGGTTGAATGCCTGAAGGCGCACCACAAAGTGAGGATTTTAGGTGACACTGAGACAAATTCCTTTTTTTTTTTTTTTTTTTTTAATAAATCTTTTATCTATTCCTGGGGTGGTCGATCCCGGACCTATTCTGTGTTTACATTCCCCTGGTCCCTGGCACGGATCGCAGCCTGAACCGTATCAGGCTGTGAATAGTTGGGTACCAGCGTGTAGCCTGTCATATTCCTCATCCAAGAGTTTATGACTCTATAATCATGTAATCTGACATAGTGACGTATCAGACAAAAAACTGTGTAGTCTGAACCAGGTATTACTTGTCCCTTGTGTATGCACTAAATTACCTACAGTCATGTGTATGCACAAAACATTGTATCCTGCCAATATGACTTGTTGTGAGCAGGCACATGGCTCAATACATGAGCAGCGCCCAGAAAGGAATTGGTAGTAACACCAGAGGAGCAAAGCACCAGCTACTGGTTGATAAAGTAGTCACTCGAGACTGCAAGACTAGGCACCCTAACCTGTGCACTGCCTGGATTGACTACAAGAAAGCCTATGACTCAATGCCTCACACATGGATCCTGGAATGCTTGGAACTGTACAACATGGACAGGACTCTAAGAGCCTTCATCAAGAACTCAATGGGAATGTGGAAAACAACCCTAGAGGCCAACTTCAAACCAATTGCACAAGTCAACATCAAGTGCGGTATCTACCAAGGAGATGCTCTGTCCCCGCTGCTGTTCTGCATAGGGCTGAACCCCCTCAGCTAGATCATAACCAAGAGTGGTTACGGATACTGACTACAAAAACATCAGCCACCTCCTCTACATGGATGACATCAAGCTGTATGCCAGGAGTGAACAAGACATCAACTCACTGATCCACACCACTAGGATCTACAGCCAGGACATCGGAATGTCATTCAGACTGCATAGGTCCGAATGGTAACGAGGAGAGGGAAGGTAGTCAGAACTGAGGGGATTGTACTACCAGAAGGCAACATAGCAGATGTTGAGGACAGCTACAAGTACCTTGGGATCCCGCAGGCAAATGGGAACTATGAAGAGGCCGCAAGAAAAGCAGCAACCACCAAGTACCTGCAGAAAGTAAGGCAAGTCCTGAGAAGCCAGCTGAATGGGAAGAACAAAGTCCGGGCGATCAACACCTACGCCCTTCAAGCTGTATGCCAGGAGTGAACGAGACATCGATTTACTGATCCACACCACTAGGATCTACAGCCAGGACATCGGAATGTCATTCGGACTGGATAAGTGTGGTCGAATGGTAACAATGACAGGGAAGGTAGTCAGAACTGAGGGGATTGCCCTACCAGAAGGCAACATAGCAGACGATGAGGACAGCTACAAGTACCTTGGGATCCCGCAGGCAAATGGGAACCATGAAGGGGCCGCAAGGAAAGTAGCAACCACCAAGTACCTGCAGAGAATAAGGCAAGTCCTGAGAAGTCAGCTGAATGGAAAGAACAAAGTCCGGGCAATTAACACCTATGCCCCGCCAGTCATCAGGTACTTGCTGCTGGTATAATAAGCTGGCCAAAGGAGGAGATAGAGGCCACTGACATCAAGACAAGGAAGCTCCTTACAATGTACGGTGGGGTTCACCCCAAGTCC